ATAATTTATACGCATAAACTTAGTATTAAAAATGAAGTGGAAAATTATTTATTTTTAATCCTAGACTTAAAAATTGCAATGGTAACATTTTTTTTCTAATTATAAATAAATGACGTGTTAATCCAGCTAGAGAAAAAGTATGTTTTAAATAAAATGTGAATATTCTTTATTTGGCAGTATAAAAATAAAAAAAATCTTAATTATTTATTATTGAACCATTTATACCGGTTTACAAAAACCGCAATTACGAGAAATAAAAATAATTTATACGCATAAACTTAGCGAATGATAGTTCTTGCTCAATAATAAATTTTTATAAATACCAATAAGATTATCATTATTTTGACCAATCTCGGTATAATGGTAGAATGACTTCCTTAATTTGACATTTCACAGTGACAATGAAAAAAATAATGAGTAAAATGCAAAATAAGTTTAATAAAACTTCCTTCCTTTTTGGAAATAATCCGATAAAATTGCAAAAAAATAAAAAGGCCTTTTCGAAAAAAAAAACAAATAAAAATCGAAAATAATCAGTTATTTCTACCATTTTCAATAAACAATTCAGCTTACCGTATTTATTGCTTTCCACAAGCACGACTTAAACCTAAATAACTTTGAGCAGTTCCTTAAAGTTTTCGATTTTTTTTTTCAAAAATTACTGTTATAATTTTTTTGGAAATTTATGGGATTAGGTATCTCTCTAAAGAAAAAAAGTCTATTTTGCATTTTACTCATTATAGATATGATTGAATAATGATAATCTTGGTATCGTAGTTATGAAATTTAAAAGTTGAATAGTGTTTTTATGACGCAATATTTAGATACAAAAATTGGAACGGTCGTGTTTTGAGAATGAAATTTTGTTTTTTTTTTGAGTTACCTATGCGTTTTTTTAAATGGCAGCTTGAAAATTATTTCCGATAAAAGTTGAATAAAACTGATAGTTGTAATCCTTAGCCTTTATAAAAAAAAACATTTAAAAAATCAAAATTTTGCAAAAAAAAATCGAAAAATTTTATTCTTCAGAAACGTCACATTACTATAGTTTTTAACATTGAAACGTTTGGTTCCAAACTTTCTGTTTTGGAGTGTATATGTCAAAAAATTTGTAATTTAGGCAATTGAAAGAGGATGCGGATTCGAGACTGAGCGGCTTATTGAACGAAACACCCGAAAAAGAGGAAGCTCACCGCAGACTCGGCAACATTGTTAGTCGCTTCCACCGCCAAGAAGACAGTCTTCGGGCCGAAGTGGACAAATTAGCCAAATCGAAAATAGAGTTAGAAAACAAGACCATCGATTTGGTCCTCGAGCACCCCGAACTGGAGAAAAAATCCGAACTGTGTGAGGAGAAAATCGGCAAACTCGAGTTGCAATACCAAGTGAGTTTTTCCCCTTTCTTGTTCCTTTACTAAATTGGCATATTGAGGTCAACTTGATGCAAAAGCGGTGCTCCATCCTCGAAGAAGAGCTCCGTTCCCGAGCCAACCTCTTGGAGAAGACGTGCAAAATGCTCCAGAGTTGCTATTTGCAGTTGCGAGGGCACGGGTTTGCCACCGACGTCTTGTGCCAAGAGTATCAGAGTCTGGTGAACCACGTCCAAGGCAGGAGGAACATCACGTGGGACAGCCCCCTGGACTCGGGCTTGAGCTCGACGTCGAGCACTTCGTCCATTGACGGTGATATCAGATCGGCGCGCAAAAGGGCCAATGATGAGAATGTCAACGGGATGAACAGCACCTTTGTCATGGAGCCCCCCAAGCCCAAAGTGAAAGTGTGTGCCGAAGAACTGATGGCTAAAGGTGGGATTGATTTTCTAAACGCTGTCATTACGGAAATATTTCAGGGGGTTGTATCAAATTTATTTGTCGAGAGAAATTGTTGTGAATTGTAATAACTAAATTTGATTAAATGTCTCTGTGAGATTTGATTTATTTCGTCGGTTTGTTTTTTCAGTGTACAATTCACCAAATCTTAAGCCGAAAAAGGCGGTCGTGGTGAAGGATAGGAGGGCCGAGGCGGCCAAACGACCAATAACTCCAGGTAAGTGCAAAAGTGTTGTGAAAAAGCGACAATTAAGAAAATATTAATTTCAAGTTGATTTCAGTGTTGAGGAAGAAACAGCTGACTAAATCTGATCCGTTAAAAAAACGTCCGGCGTTCAGGACTTGAAGCTTATATTCACGTTAATGTTTTTATATAGAAAAGTTTTATTTTAATTATATGAAATATTTTATTTTCTTAGAATTAACCATAATTTTGTACATGATCGATATAAAAAATTAAAATAGTCGGTTGTTGAGGTGAGTGAAATAGTTTATAGCTCTTGCGACAGTATTTTCCACTGTGTTGTCCTCAAACTGTTCGCGGGCAAACACCACCGGCGTGAGTCTCACACGTGCAATCACAATTAACAAGATCACAATAATTATTGAGAAAATCACTGCACTAGCCAGGAACACCAACGGCATTAAGAAGTAGTGAGGCATCGCAGGGGGGCCCGAATGCGCCTCGATGATTTCGCAGTGGTGGTGATGTGGATGTCCTATGGCCATTCTCGTATTTATTCGACTTAATTTATACTCTTGTTTAGATGCATGGACTGACTCTTGTATTCTAATGTAAAATAAAGATCTACCCATTTTTGCAAGCCTCTTATTTAAACCAGGTTATGGTCTAATGACACCAGCGTCAATCTTGTGCTCAGAGTGTCTTTTTTGATGGATGCACACATTGTCGCCGCTTGACATCAAGCGGGGACAATTGGGCCGTTTGCTTATTATGCAGGCAAATATAATATTCCGCAACAAAATATATAAATTAACTGCTATGTTACATTATTATACTTTTTATTACTTTATATTATTTATTTTTATTACTTACTACAGGATGTTCCGTTTTTATTCTTACAAATTTAAATAGATGATAGAATATTCAATTTTAAGACAAAAGTTTCCTATAAATATGTTTCCAAAAATGCTATGTAAGGGAGCTACACACTATAAAAGGGGTGCGTTTTTTAAAGAGTTTTTCCTAATAATACATAAATACATATTTCAAAATAGAATACTTAGATAAAATGACAAAATTTGGTACATCTTTATACACCTAAACGAATTCCAAGATGAAATGTCAAAATTTTTAATTAGGGACTTTCTAAATGGTAAAACGAATTAAATTTTTAATTTATGCTGAATATACCTAAATTTTTAAGCTGATTTTACTCAAAATCGGTATGTTGTATCGGAAAAACGCAAAAGAGCTTTTTTATGAAAAACTAAGAAATTTAAAATTATGTTGCTGAAAGTGGCAAGAAGTGGAAGCCCCTGATTAAAAATTTCAACATTTTAACTTTAAATTCGTTTAGGTGTATAAGGGTTATCATCTGTACGAAATTTTGTAATTTTATCTAAAATGGTTTCAGAAATATTGGAAAAAAACTATTAAAAGACACCTCTTTGAGGGTAGCGTTTTTCGATAACTGTTCGTGGGAAATTTTTATCTTAAAATTGAATATTCTATCTCCTGCTTGAATTGTAACAATAAAAACGGAACAGCCCTGTATACAAGGTGAATAAAAATTATGGAACCAAGCATTTTTTGCATCAACTAATTAGTAATTACTTTACGAAAAAAATAATTAGTGCAATGTAAAGTACTATAAAAATGTGATCGTTTTTCAAGAATAGTTTTTTTCGAAATTCCTTTTAGTTTTCGAGTTTAGCAAAAAAAAATTTTTAATTGCAACCTAGTCAACCTATTAGACATTTTTTTTAAATTAAAGATAATAGCTAAAAATGACTTCTAAATAAAATTGTGTCTTATCGAGTAGTTTTTTTAAATAAATTTAACAAATTATTAAAAAAAAACTACTAGTTAAAAAAAATCTATTTAAAAGT